GGCCGTCCCCGGGGCGCTGAGCCTGCCTCGCGTCTCCCCGGGCTGGGCGGCAGTGGCGCCTGACAGGAGCATTGGGTTTTGGCCGTTGCCGGGCCGCTGAGCCGGCCTTGTGTTTCCCCAGGCCAGGCAGCAAGCCCGGCGGGCAGTGGGGGCATCGGTTCCTGCTCGTCCCCGGGCCGCTGAGCCGGTCAAATCAACGGACGTGGAGGTACTGCAGCTGGCTTTTTGATTCGCCGCAGACCTCCATTGACTTCCATGGGGATTCTTGGCAATGAATGGGGCTGATTGAAATCGCTTCAAGAAGCAAGCTGCAGAGACACAGAGAGCAGAGACACAGAGAGCTGCAAATGATCTCCACAGGAGATGCAGCAAGGGCAGGAGACGAGAAAGAGTCCGCTATGTCTGTGCAGAAGCCCCGAAAGCTTTCTTCCTCTCCCTGCCTTTCTTGCTGGCCCTCTGATGTAAGCATCTGCTGGGTTTCCTCAACCTCCCCCCCCCGTTTTATTTTAATCCCACCATCGCCTCCCTCTTTCGCAAAGTTGACATTCCTAGGACTCGTAGCTCGCTTCGCTCCTGGAGTCACTTGGCAAAGTTTGAAGGAGAGGCTGCCTGCTCCCACCTCCCACGGAGCAGAACTGCTGCTTCCTCACCTCCCAGCGAAAGAACCCCAGAGAGCTGGAAGGCGTCCTTTCTCCCACTTTCCGCTTCCCATCCTCCCTTTTCCAAGCACCCCTCCCAGAGCAAACCAGAAGCCTCAACTCCAGCCTCCTGCAGCAGGCTGAGATAGGCGAGCCCGAGCGACCGTCTTCTGCTGCCTCAGAACATTCACTGCAGCAGCTCTTTCTCCCCGTCGGCTTCCTCCTCCGCTCCCTGGGAACCTTCGTGCCAAAAGGCAGCAAGAAGAAAGTCCCAGAGAGGGAGAGCGCGGGGTGAGGGGAGAGCAGTCTTTTCCGAAGGGAAGAGAAGCCAGGACTGCAGAGCCGTTCATACCAGAGCTGGATGGGGGGCAGGGCAGGCGCACGTTTCGCCTTAAGCTCCTCTCTTCAATCAAGCCCTGTGTTCTGTGCGCATGCGCGTGCGCGCGCGCACATTTTGCGGCTCCCAGGATTTTTTTTTTGTGAGGGAAATGGATCCAAGTGGCTCTTTCACTGTTGCAGGTTGCTGACCCCTGAACTAGACATACTCAATTCCAGCAACCGTTTCTTATATGTTTTAGCCTCCAGTCCCCTAATCATCTTTGTTGTTCTTCTCTGTACTCTTTCTAGAGTCTCAACATCTTTTTTACATTGTGGTGACCAAAACTGGATGCAATATTCCAAATGTGGCCTTACTAAGGCATTGTAAATTGGTATTAATACTTCACGTAATCTTGATTCTATACTTCTGTTAATGCAGCCTAGTACAGTGTTGGCTTTTTTGGCAGCTGCAGCACACTGCTGGCTCATATTTAAGTGATTGTCCACTAGGACTTCAAGATCCCTCTCACAGTTACTACTTTTGAGCAAGGTACCCCCTAGACTATACCTGTACATTTGGTTTTTCTTGCCTAAATGTAGAACCTTACATTTTTCACCACTGAATTTCATTTTGTTAGATAGTGCCCAGTGTTCAAGTCTGTCCAGATCCTCCTGTATCTTAAGCCTGTCTTCTGGAATGTTGGCTATTCTTGCCAGCTTGGTATTGTCTGCAAATGCGATGAGTTCCCCATACTAAGGCATTGTAAATTGGTATTAATACTTCACGTAATCTTGATTCTATACTTCTGTTAATGCAGCCTAGCATTGTGTTGGCTTTTTTGGCAGCTGCAGTACACTGCTGGGTCATATTTAAGTGATTGTCCACTAGGACTCCAAGATCCCTCTCACAGTTACTACTATGGAGCAGGGTATCACCTATACTATACCTGTGCATTTTGTTTTTTCTTGCCTAAATGTAGATCAGCGGTTCTCAACCTTTGTGTGACGGCGACCCCCGTCACACGGATGCGTCGCGGTCGCGACCCATAGGTTGAGAACCGCTGATGTAGAACCTTACTTTTTTTAACCATTGAATTTCATTTTGTTAGATAGCACCCAGTGTTCAAGTCTATCAAGATCCTTCTGTATCTTCTGGAAAGTTGGCAATTCCTGCCAGCTTGGTGTCATCTGCAAATTTGATGAGTTCCCCATCTATCCCTTCATCTAAATCATTGATGAAGATGTTGAAGAGCACTGGGCCCAAAACAGAGCCCTGGAGCACCCCACTACATACTTCCCTCCATGTAGATGCGGTTCCATTGAGAACCACACACTGAGTATGGCCAGTCAGCCAGCTATGAATCCATCTGGTGGTGATGCTGTCTAACCCACATTTTTCTATCTTATCAAGTAGTAGGTTGTGGTCTATTTTATCAAATGCCTTAAGGAAGTCCAAGTAAATTATATCCACAGCATTCCTCTGGTCCACTAATTTTGTCACCTGGTCAAAGAATGCAGTAAGATTTGTCTAGCATGATCTGTTTTTGACAAACCCATATTGGCGTTTAGTAAAGACTTTGTTTGCCTCTAGGTGTTCGCTGATTCGTTGGTTGATTATCTTTTCCAAGATCTTCCCAGGTATTGAGATCAGGCTGATAGGTCTGTAATTTCCTGGATCCATTTTGTCCCCTTTTTCAAGATGGGAACTACTTCAGCTCTTTTCCAGTCCTCTGGTAATTCCCCAGTGCTCCAGGATCTTTGAAAGATATAGTTCAGTGATTCTGAGATCACATGTTCCAGTTCCTTCAGAACCGTGTAGTCCATCTGGTCCTAGTGATTTGAACTCATCTGGGGTAGACAGGTGCTCATTTACCTTTTTCTTGCCTATCTTAACTTGTATTTCTAATCTGTTTTTTACAGTACTATTTTTGATAGAACTTTTTTTCCCTTTGTGTAAATACGGATGCACAAAACGAGTTGAGTAGTTCTGTTTTCTCCGTGTTGCTTGTCACCTTGTCACTTTCTCCCACTAATGGACCAATCATTTTCTTAACTTTTTTCTTGTTTTTTCTATGTTGAAAGAAGCTTTTTTTGTTATTTTTTACTTTTGTTGCAAGCCTTAGTTCATTTTGAGCCTTAGCTTTCTTTCCTCATTTCATCTTTGCAGGTTTGGGCTATTTGCTGATATTCTGCCTTAGTTATGTGCCCCCCTTTCCACTTTTATACTTGTCCTTTTTGTCTTTCAACTTATCACAGAGTTCTTTATGCAGCCATGCAGGTTTCTTTTGAGAGCTGTTATTTTTCTTCTTGGTTGGTATTGTGCTAGACTGGGCTTTTATTAGCTCACTTTTCAAAATTTCCCAAGCTTCTTGAGTTTTTTTTCCCTTGAGGATTCTTCTCTATGAAATCCTTCCCAAGGTGTCTAAGTTTGTTGAAATTAGCTCTCTTAAATTCCAAGACTCTAGTTTGACTATGTTGTATTGCTTGTGCTTACATAATGTTGAATTCCAATATTGCACGGTCACTCCCCTCCCCAAGGTTCCTATGGTTTCAACACCTTCTATCATTTCATCTCTGTTAGTGAGAATTAAGTCCAATATGGCTGATCTCCTAGTTCCCTTCTCTACTTTTGGGGAGACAAAGTTGTCTGCTAGATTTGTCAGCAGTCTGTTTGATCTTCCACTTGGTGCAGAGTTTGTCTCCCAGTTGATATCAGGGTAATTAAAGTCCCCCGTTAATATTGTGATGTGCTTCCTATATACCTTAGTTAACTGACTAGCAAAAAGTTCATCTATTACCTCTGTTTGGTTGGGTGGTCTATAGTATACACTTAAGGCAATGTCATTCCCCCCCCCTTTTATATTGACCCAAATGCATTCAAGACATTTTTCATCATTGCTGTGCTCTTTTTGTATAGAGATGTAGTTATTTCTTATAGAGAGAGCAACTCCACCTCCTCTTTTATTTGGTCTGTTTCTGTTTTCTTTTAAATAATTTAAACCCCTCTTGTGGATTTCATCTCACCAAGTTTCTGTAATGGCAACAATAGCATATCTGTCCTCATTTATCTGAATTTCTAATTCACTCTGTTTGATGCTCATGCTCTGTGTGTTGGTGTATAGACAATTGAATCCTTTATGACTAACCCTGTGTTTACTTTCTACATAAACTGTGTGGTGCCTGAGTTCCCCTATTTTCTTACCACCTGTTTGATTAGTTCACTTTGTATGGCACACACTATTAAAAGCTTGCTTTTGCTTGATAGCAAGGTTGGTATTTTTGTCCACACACACATCTATGTTACATACACTGATAACCCTATAATTTTTAGATTGCCAGAGACAGGAATGTTCTGTGTCAATTAACTCATTGTCCCCGCTGTTCAATTTAAAAATTTAAAACTTATTTTTTATGATCTCATTTGATTATCAAAGCTGGTGGCTGATGCTCACATTTATCTTTGCAAATACCACACTTTCAATAGCCATGATATTAGCTTGCCAAGAGGGAGAGTTATATGGATTGCATCAGGATTGACTGTTCCTTAACTTTTATTGGGATAAAATACCTTTCATCCAGGTATTTCATTTCCATCAGATTCCACTTGGGACTGGACATTTTCTCTGCCTTTTTCCTTATCATATGTGATATGGGTAATGGAAGGATTTATGTCAGAAAATCGGTTAGCAATAAAAGTTTTTGAACAGGCTCTATGCAGGCACAAAATTCAAGTCTGTGAATCCACAAAAAGCAACTTAAAAGTTCACCAGTACTGCATAAGTGTGAATATGACTTAAGATTACTGTAATTTTTTTTTGTTTTGCTGGTCAGTTGGTTTGGTTTACTTTGAAAACCAGTTTTGCCTTTTGTTTTGTGCCAAAAAAAATTCTGATATTTCAGACAGGCTCAAGGAAATTAAAATGCATATCATCCTGGATAGAGATCTATGCATTTGTATTTTTTTGCAGTGAATTTACTGTGTGTTAAGGGTAGCGATCCCTTTCTTGAAGAAATGTTTAATATTTCATCCTTTTTATTTTCCAGGTCCTTGGAACTCCCACAAGAGAACAAATTAGAGAAATGAATCCAAACTACACAGAATTTAAATTTCCTCAGATTAAAGCACATCCATGGACTAAGGTGAGTCTGTTTGAAATGGTGGTATTTGTATGTATGGTGGGTCATATTCAACACTGAGGTCTGTATATTTATTTTCAAAAGCAATAAACAGAACCATCACACTATATTATGTAATAGTCCTACAAATTGCTAATCTAATTATTTATATTCAGAGTAATATTTTTGTTAATATATTATTTTGTTAATATTATTATTTTTCTTCTCATCTATAATCCTCCATATTTCCACACAGCTGTTTAGAAGATTTTATGATAATTACTGATAGCAATTTGGGATGGGTATGCTGCCATATATATTAAAGGACAGGGAAATAGCAGAAGTGTATAGAAAATGCATTTTCTGCATAGAAAATGCCTTTTGCTTAAGTTATTTGGAAAAAACTTTCAGAGTAGGTCTTTCTTGAACAGCATCGCTTCTTCTATATGAAAAGAATGCCAGACAGATTGTGGCTGAAACAAGGTCATTTAGAAAGAAACAGTGAGAAAGTATTGACATCTTTACTGAGATAGCACAGTTTACAAAAAAAAAAGGGGGGGGGGTGTGAAGGGAACTAGAAAGCACAATTTCTGGCCTCCAAATAAAATAAAGGTCCAGTGAGGCTAAACTATACTAAGTGGCAATCAAAATGGAATGGAATGGAGCAGAATGGCCAATCCACAGACTGTGGTTATACTCCACTTCTATCTTGGTTTTTGAAAAACTACTTCATTGCTAAGATTTGATGTTTTTGCAAAAATAATAAAGTTACAATTTTAAGCCCATTTCTGTTTCTTAATGTTTCCAAACTTTTCCTAAAAAATGAAAATATTGAAGATTTCACTCTCCCTATACTCCTCAGAGGTTAAACATGTATTTTAGGGTAAAATTGTGGTTTAAAAACTTTACAGTTGAACTATTTAAAAAGAACCCAGAACTATTCACATGTCCATGCAACGTATCAGTTTTATTTCCATTCAAAAGCATAATACAAAGTTCTCTTTCTTCCATAACAGTTAAATCAGACTGCTCTTTTTTACAAGAATGAGAAAGTATATTTATGAAGTTTGTTTCTCTCTTGTTAAAAAATCAGGCCAGGCCTTCCCTTTCGCAAGGGGTTCTTCCTGATAGGTGAAGTTTGCACTTTCACAGTAGCTTTTACTCCAATCGTAGACTCATGTTTGCAATTTGAGGATGTCTTGAATTGTAACAAAGTTTACTTGCTGGCAAGGGATATAGTGTAAAGATTGTTGAAGCTATAGGATGATATGAGAATAATCAACTAGGTGAAAAAACACTGCAGCCATTGATCACTAGCTGTGAAAGTTCATTCTTGCTCATTTTATTTCTATTTCAATGATCAATGTGGACGGTAGTTTTGCAGAACCTTAGTTAAGCTCTGTGGTGTGTAGTCTGTTGAAAGGAACAGATAGAGCATTAATAGAAGAACCTATTTTGTTGATCCAACAGTTTGGAAGCAATATTTCTGAATCCCAAAAAGATCCTGCCAGTAACATTTCTATTTTGAGTTGCTAGAATTCAGAACCCTAAGACATGATATTGAAGCCAATCTGAACTAAAACACATTCATGCACCTTTTATTAATTGATTTTTAGTTATTGAAAAAGAAAGAAAAAGAAATGAATGTTCTTAACCGATACATAGTGTTCTGTAAAAGACTATAGACTAGTCTATAGAAAAATGTTAAGCTGTAGTATACTGAAGTGTTCTGGGCAGAAGATGGAATATTGCAAATAGAATCTTCTTTTTATGAGACAGCATTCTGAATCAGACATATGATACTCGAACCAGTCCTCTTAGTCCTGATTTGTTCCTTTGCTTATAAATGAGTTCATTTCATGTTAAGCGCTTGGACTAGCTTATATGCTAGTATTAGAAATTAGTCCAGTTTTGGAAATCAAGACATTTTGTTGATGTCACTGTTTTCTTTGACATCTCCGTAACTCTGCTTCTCATTTACTATTTTAAATCATATAGAAAAAATTGTTCCTTTTGGAATTTTCCATACTATTTACTAGATCATGTCTTTCCTTTTGTACATCAGATTTCCTTTCAAAGACTGGTGATTCTTTTCTAAGACTCTTCGCTAAGACTCCTCATTTAAGATTTATCTTATTTTATGTATACTTGCAAACTAAACAAAGCTTAAAAAAAGTCACAGCATAAACTTCAGTAAAAAGCATGGGAATATACAGGCTTGTATAAAAAACTTTTTAGACAATACCAAAATGACAAACTTTTGGTAGTGTGATTGCCTCCATTATAAAAATGTTCAGACTTAAATGTGCTTTAATTCTCTGGTATGTTTAATACATTTATTTGAAGAGTTCTTTCCCCTCAAAAATACTTTTAAAATGCTTTGAGTTAATTAATGGTAAGTGGAATTTGCCATGCCACTAACACATCTCCTGCAACCTTTGGAGCCAAAGAAAAATTAGTTAAATATGAGCCCATATTGGGGGAAACTGCCAGCATTGCTCTAAGATAACAAACATTTAAACAGAATGTTACTTTGGATCCATTCCTGGTAACCTCTTTATCCATAAGAAGGAAGAAAAAGTATATGCTTGTTTATCTTCAGACCAATATGATTTTTTTTATCTTAAGAATTATAAGAGCTTTTTATATAGTAATAATGCAAAAATTTTGGTATGTTTGGGAAATGATAGGGTAAATTGAATGTAAGGACTACTGTGGAGTGCCTGATGAACCTAATCTTGAACGTTGTAAAGAAGATGACTTTTGGGTATAATGTTAAAAAGGAAGGCCAGGTCCTGTAACATGCAGAGACTTATTGTAGCACTGTAACTTTGTCTGACTTAACTTGGGAGGATGAAAGAAATTCAGTTTAAAAAAAACCTCTAAAATTAGAATATATAAAGTGTCCATAAACACAACATCAAAACAGCAATCTGCACAAACAGAAAAATATCCACCATCCTTAGAAACCCCAAAGATAAAATTGAATTAGAAAATCAAGGAGTATACGAAATCCCATGCACCACTTGTCCCACCACATACATCGGACAAACCAACAGAAGAATAAGTGCACGCATTGAAGAACATAAGAACTCAGTCAAAAAAGAGGAACCAACATCTTCCCTGGTCCAACACCTTAAAGCCACAGGACATGAAATTGACTTTAAAAATACCAGAACCATTGCCAAAAGTGAACATTTTAATAACAGAATAATCAGAGAAGCCATCGAGATAGAAAAACGCCCACACAGCATGAACAAGCGAGATGATACCTCCCGCCTACCAGCCATTTGGAAACCCGCCCTTATTGACAAACGACTCCCTAACACAAAAAATGATACCAGACCCACACTCACAAAAACCACACAGGATGTCACCACCACACATCCACGCAAAAACAAACCCAAAGCCACACCAATGACGAGGCACGACCACAAACCAGAAGCCAGACCACAGCTGCATCATTAGCCACTTTAAACCCCTCCAATCCATACATGAAGCAAACTGACACCCTCCATGAAGAGGAGGCACGACCACAAACGCGAAGCCAAAAAATAGCAAGGCAGCCCAAAATCTTAAACCCCTCTGCAACTCAGACTAACCTGAGCACAACCAAACAGAACACTCCCCCAGCCAATCAGAGCACAGCCAAGCCCCTAACTATTCAGAACACACCTCCACCCAATCAGAACACAGCCAAGCTCCCACCCAATCAGTTCATACCCCCACTGGCAGTTAAAAGGAAGAAACAGCTAAGACCACACATTGCTGCTCAAAGCACGAAGCTGAAAACACCAGCCTGAAGATGACGAATGGGACTTCGTCGAAACGTCGCCAAGACACTTCCAATTTTCCGCGGGAGAAAATCCGAACAACCAAAGACCTACATACAAATACCCGCGAAAACCTCAGAAAACAAATAAAAATAATTATATATACAAATTTAAAATTATATATACATTCATAAAATTAAATCCAAATATTAAAAAAAGTAAAATTACTTCACTCCTTTGAAGTCCAGTTGTACCTTTTAATACTTTACTAGCTCCTTTCTGCAGTGGTTACTAGTGTATTTGTCACTGTGTTATATTTTCCCAGAAACAACAGAAACAATAATGAGCTGGCCCTAGAGAAAAACTACAAATTTTAAATTCAAACATTTGCAAGGATTATTAATATATATAACTGTATATTAAATAGTTAAAATTATGTGTATTATATATTTGAAATATATACAGTCATAAGTGATAGATGTATTTGTGTACTATATTAATATTTACATTACACAATAATGATAGTGAGGAGTTTTAGCCAAAAGAAGCAATACTGCATGGATAACAGTTATGAATTCTTGAAGGTGCTTTGCCTAGTACAAATATACTTGCAAACTTTTAAAAATAATTTATCAGACATTTCTGCCCTTTCTTTATGTTCTGTAGTACCATATATATATTTTACCAGTTAGAGTTGTTTTCTTACCATGCTAACCAAAACCTAACAAGATGAAGATTCAGAGGCTATAATGTTCTTCAGAATGAGGATGATCTTTTAGAATTTTATATGGTTTTATTTGTTCTCTGATAGTATTTATGAATATGTCCCAAATTAGCTAACTTGTTCATGGGTTAGTTTGGAGTTAATTCACATTTCAAAAAGCTTCCCACCTTCCTGTGGGAGGTTTATCATGGAATATAAAGTGGAATCTAAAATGGTTATCATACTTCACTTTAGCATTGCAGGTCTGTTTTGTGTGTGTGTGTGTGTGTGTATGCATGTAAATTTATTGTGATAAATCTAGAGTCAGTTGAAGTCAGGCAGTGCCCACATTGAATTAATTAACTGAACAAATTTGACAATGTTCAGTGAGAGAACTAATGACAGTTAAAAAAAAAACACTTGAATGCAATTTGTCATTGGAAAGGGCAGGGTTTAGCAGTTGATACTCAGATGCCCACTCTCCCCAGGTAAGGCAGTTGTGCTCATGATGATTCATCACTCTGAGAAGCAGGCAATGGGATTTTCAGGTGTTTTTTTTAAGAAAACAAATTGATTCTGCAACCTGAAAAGATTTGCAAATACCAGACTGAGATTATTTCTATGATTTCAGCCATGAAGACAGCAAAGAACCCCTTTTGCATGACAAACATTTAAGTCTGACTGAAAAATACAATTTTTGGTTTATGTGTTTGCATCTGTATATGGCAGAAGATATAGCCTTTTCCTCTCTGATTTGCCAGAAGACAAGAGACAAGTTTTTCAGAATAAAGCAATTCATTTTGCTAAGCAGGAATAAAAGATAATTTTTCATGAAGCTGTTTTCAGCAGTCAATCCATTCCATTGGCATCTCGTTGGAGGCTAAAGCTAGAAGCGAAGACCTATTTTCACAAGGATAGTTTATATAAGTAAAACTCAATGCTCCTTGGACAGTGTTCAAAGGCTTTTATCAACAGCCCACAAATGGGACCTGTAACATTTTATTTATTTTCTTCTCACTACCATCCATGGGTTTGTTGACACTTGTTTTCTCGATGGAGAGCAACTCGTGGTAAGATTTTATTCTTATGTATCTTCATTTCTTGATCTAACGAAGGGAGCTTAATATGTTTTGTGCCCTACCAGAGTTTTAGCTTGATTCACAACAGTTTTTTCTTTTTGCTTGTTATGGTTAAGAAAAAAATGTACAGAACAGATTAATAATGCATTCCTATTTTATTGGACATTTGAGTTCCAATTTTTAATGGGAGGAATTAGTGTTCTGTTCTGATGAATATAGTGAACAATTATGTTAGAGCAAACTGAAAAACAAATACATACCATGGGAAAAACCCAGGAAAAAGAAATGAGTCAAATTAGTTTTGAAGAGTTTGCAAGTGTATTTATATCAACAAGTAGCCAATTCAAGAGTTTGTAATAATATATTTTCAGCTATTTTAATTTATTTATTTAAAATTCAGTACCTTATTTATTATATGCAGTACATATTAGAATATAGAGTAGATTAGAGAAAAAATATAGAATGAGATACGATTGCCTGAAAAGACTTAAAATGTATGTCAACACTATCTAATTAATAAATGAAGTAAATGATGTCATATAATAATAGCAGGATCAAGATATTGTAAAATGAATTTAGGATTAGACTGCCAATAACTTTATGAAGCTATTCTCTGAAAAATAAGTATATATGGTTTTCTATAAGTATTCAGTAGAAATTCTTAAAAATTCCCATTTTGGCTTCTTTTTCATAAATATATAGTATCGCCAGTACATTTTTCCACATGTCCTTTTTTGTTAAAAAAAATCACTTATTGACCCACCCCCCAAATAAAACTTTTTTAAGATAAAAGAAATTCCTTTAACTAATCTTTTGAACTCATGGTTTAAAAATGTCACTTTATATAAACGAAAATTAGAATTCTCAACCACTTTCTGAATGCAACACAGTTCCATGATCAGAACATTGTGGGTAGGATCGGATTCATGGAGAATTATGTAACATTGTGCTTTAATCCTTGACTTGATTCATTGCCTTTCTCCTTTTTCTCTTCTATGTTAAGATTACTCTGTTGAGGTATATAGCTGCTGTATTCTTTCATATTGCACTTGAATAGGCCACATTTGTCCAAAAAAGCAAAATTTCTCAGCATCATATTGTAGCCTTGTTCATAGTCTCAGTTAACTACATTTCACCACTACAACAACACAAAACAGCAGCTAAGATTTTCCAACAGTGTTTCAAAGAACAATCTTTGAGTGGCTATAATTGTTTCATGCCTTTAATGAGTAGTTCTAGAAGTTCTGTTTCACTCAAAAAGCATTTGTACAGTGTTATTGCTGAATACAATTTTTTTTATTACAACCAAGTAAAATTCCATAATACTTGTACTCCAGTGTGCTGGGCCCATGGTAAGTGGTACAGCATGTGGGACAAAGTTGTAGAAATTTATATTGAACTTGGAAAATGTGCCACTTTAAAAATGGTATAAATGCACACTAATATTTTGCTTCCAAGATACTACACAGTGTTAAATCCTGTCCAGATAAAATCATGAATGTATAATACATAAATTTTAATGGACAATTATTATGATAGATTTTTTAAACCATTATTCCAGGTTGAAACCTTATTATGATCTTTTAAACTTTTCCATAAAATAAGAAGATGCTACTAATATTATCAAATCTTAAGGTTTTGAGAACTATAAAAAGAATCTTTAGCTAAAAGAATTGATGGGCAAAAAATCCTACAAACAGTACTAGGTTTAATGTATTAAATATAAATATGAAAGATATCAATATGGGAATGAGAATAACTAGGTAGAAATAGAACATAAATGAGGAGGGATAGAACTCTCCATAACAATGCAATGCAAATTGAACATGTTTAGGGGCTACAAAATGGTAATTCCTATATGGCTGCAGAGGAAAATGAAATGGCATATCCTGGAGAAAGTTGGAACATTCCACGGAAGTATATTCCATGGCAATATTCATGATAGGGTTTTTTTTTCCAGCATGGCATTTTATGTCATTTAACATACTATATTAATAAGTAAACTGAGCAAATTATTTAAAATACTATCTGTGATTATAGTAAATTATAATTTACTAAGAATTGAAATCATATAAGTTCTAGTCAGCATTCACATGTGTCACTTTAGTTTTCTGCTTCTGGCTTTCCTGTGCATTTATTTGGCCGTATTTAGTCTGCATACTAAAGGTTAGTCTGCCCACTTGCATTATTCTTTGTGTTGTCAGCTTTTCCTTTCCTTGGTCAAGATTGCTTCAGATTTCAATAGATTTCCTTGAGACGGGCCGGCTTTTAGACCCAAGTGCTAAGTTTTAGTCCGCAGACTAAAAACTAATCCGCGGATTATTTATGCAAACAATTCCCTCACTGAAAACTACATGAAAAAACAGTAACTATTCTCTTCAAAACATAATAGTGAGGGCAGTTCACAGCTAACAGTGAACCTTACAATATGTCCTTTGACACCTATGCACAATAGAATGCTGAAAACATCCTTTGTTTTGGTAGCCCCATTGTGCTTAAGTGTTGGCAAACTGTATTATTGACTGCTTGATCTGTAACTGTGACAGTCCCTTGCTTTTAATGTTAGTTGTTTGTATGTTGTTAAGTAGTTCTTAGTGGGTGAATAAAACATCAGAACAGTTTGGGGTGGGAAGAATTAAAGAATGCAGTATCTTTCTGTCATCATCAGTTGCTCTTAAAAAAGAAAAACATAAATCCCCTGCACTTATAAATGACTGAGGGCATAAGGGAGGAAACCACAATAAAGGGGAAAGTAAGTTAGATCCTACCATCACTCCTGAAGTGTCATGTCCAGTTCCTGAAGCATCCTAATGAAATATCAGCTAAAAATCTAAACGCTAAAAATCCATTGGCGGGGAAGTCAATCCAAGATGAAGAATAATCCGCGGTGGCCTGATGTAGCTTATAGACATTTAAAGTGGTCATCTTAGAAATGAGAAACTTAATGATTCTCTCTCTTAGAAGTGTTATATCAGAACACTTTTCAGCTTGTGCTTTTAGGATAAATAAACAGGAATAAATGAGTCTGCGCATGATTGCATGTCTCATGCTCCTTCCTGTGTCTATCTCTCTCCAAGATAGGGAGGAGATCTATAGCTTAGTTTTGAAAATTCAATATAATTTTACTTTTATACAGACATTTGATTTCATATTTTTGTTACCTTTTAGTAAAATCGCTGGCATTGGAACATGCATTAAAGTAAAATGTTTCTATATTATGCCTCAGCTTTGCAAAATTATTTTTATTAATTTTTGGACTTGCTGCTGGTGTTTAAAGGTTCTAATTGTATTAAACATTTAATATTTCCCCATCACTTTGGATTTCTTATAATATTGGATATATTTTTCCTTGCTGGACTATACTTTTGGATTGACTCCCCCTGTTTGGATTATTTCACTGCATTATCATCCTTAGGACTCGTCAGGAACAGGACATTTCACCTCAGGAGTACGGGTATGTATATAATTTTTTTTCCATATCACCAGGTTAATTGCTGGGGAAACAAAAACAAAATTAGGATTGAAAAGTTTACACCAAGTTATTAGACTACAAGGAGCAGTCAGCTTAATATTCTCTTCCTATTGTAAAATTAGATGTTTGGGAATAGAAGTAATGTTTACATTTTTCAACATTTATGCAAACATCTCATGATTCATTTCAAGTTTTCAAAGAAAACCTGATAGTGCTTGCAATTATGTTGGCTGCTTCAATTTTAATTATAGAACATGAGAAGAAATATGAGAATAATTTCTGCTAGCTTATTAATGAATGCTATATTAATTGTCTCCCTCAAAATAAAAGCAAATTAAAGATTGTCATAATTAGAGATGATAAGAATGATATTTTAAAAGATCTGGTAGATACTAGATTAAGTATGTTTCTTTACAAATATTCCCTTTGGCTGTAATCATTAGATTGAATTGCACTTGGAATTTCATATTGGGACAGAAATACCTAATCTATGTGTGTAATGTGTTTATGAGTGAACATTGTATAGATCACAAAAAGGTATGAAAATATTATGCCAAAAAAGATATGGCATAAGGTAAGAAAAGGGAATATAGCTAAAACTAATTCTCCATAGTCTTCCATTCATTTCTGTCCTCATACAAAGCATCCTTGCTTCCATCACATCCATTGCCTTTTGTTTTGTTTCACTTTTGGAAATTGAACAAAATCTAGTAATCATGTACTGAAACGTCATTCAGAATAATGATCTGACTAAGAAGTTTGTTTACCCTTGAGGGAAAAAAAGGTTGGTCTTACTACACAAACTCCCAACATGAATTTGAAGCACATGGATTTCACTTTTTGATGAGATTTCAAAAAGCAACAATTGCATCCTCAGTAGAAGATTCTCAAATCCACATACTCTTCTGTGTTTCAAAGAGAGATCATACAATTCACCCCAGGGCTTATAGTGGAAAAATACTTTACATTTCCTTGTTCTGTAGTATTTGTGTTTGCCCATATCACTAAAGTAATAAACCTTTCCTAAGAACAAGTTGAAACAGGGAAACAATGTAGAGCAGGAAGCAGAAATTTTTTAATAACCGGGAGCTTTGGTGGCACAGTGGTTAGAATGCAGTATTGCAGGCTAACTCTACCCACAGTCTGGAGTTCGATCCTAATGGGGCTTAAGATTGACTCAGCTTTCCATCCTTCCGAGGTCAGTAAAACAAGGACCCAAATTGTTGGGGGAAATATGCTGACATTGTAAACCACCCAGAGAATGCTCTAAAGCACTATGGAGTGGTATATAAATGCTATTGCTATTAAAATAATAATGTGACATTAATGTCCCATGTCATTTTAATACATAACTCTCAAAATTATCTAAGAATAATAAAATTATGCACATCTAATGAATCAGTTAAAACATTTTAGAATAAAAATCCAAATTAGTTCCCATATTGAATATCTGGAGGAAAAGTTTGGACCAATGGCATTGATTTCTTTGCTCTTAAATTCTACCTCCACTGTTCATCTCATCATATATATTTTTACATATGTAAGACTATTTTTCAATCTCTTATCCATTCACTTTATTTCAAAATGTGTGCCCAAGCACAATTACTACTGTATTGTGTTTTCTATTCAGAAGCTGCTATTGCAATAGTTCCCCTCATATTATTTTCATCTGAAAATTATCAGGTCTATAAAGCAATTGCCGCTCTTGGAATGAAAGAATTAGGAGAACAGCTGAGAGTGCCTCATCACTCTCCTGGCTTAAGTTATAAGGTAAGGCAAGGCTAAGTGAGATGAAACAATATTCACAGGATTTCAAATCCTGCTTTTTCAGGTCCTTTTACAGAGGGAAATATCCTAGTGTATGGATTTGGGAGCATCTTCTCTTTCACACAGTTTACTCCTACAAATCAAAAACTGGATTTCAGTGCAATTAGAAGAAAGGAGCTATATGGGGATGGGTATTTAAATATATGGGTGAGTGAGAGGTGTTTCTAGTGATGAATTGGAGTAGGAAGAGTTGTACTCTCCTTTCATCATCCAATCACTCTGTTACATCAAAGTTGCCTTGTCAAAAAATGCACGGCTGCTCCAGCATTAATTTGGGATTTTTATATAGAGGTTAAAAATTAATAAGCATTTTGGTTCTTTTGGTTTTCATTTACTCTAAATTCTATTCTGTTCTGTTTTAATCTGGTGTTTGGACTCTCCCTCATAAGTTTGGATTGCTTTGTAGAAACTCATCATTTTTGTAGTAGTATATAAAATTAAGCTCAGTCTCTCCCCATCTATATTAGAAATTAGAATATCTTTGAAGCACTTTCCTTGTGGTTGAAGTTAATGTGTCTTTTAAAAATGTATTTATGCAGATCTGCATTTGATTTTGCATGTGGTCTATATGCTATTGCATTCATTTTGTGGAAATGTGAATTCAGTTTATTACACAATACACTAAGGGTTTAACCATTGTTTATCCTCCCAAGACCTTTCACATAGGTAAAAAAAACAACACAGTTTAGAACTAGAACACAACCTATGGAGGCAACCCATTCCACTGATTAATTGTTTTCACTATCAGGAAGTTTAACGTTTAAGGCAGTCCTGAATTTCCAAGAAAATATGCAGTGCAAAAGTGATGATTGCATGTTGAGAATGGAATGGAATAGAATAGAATAGAATAGAATAGAATAGAATAGAATAGAATAGAATAGAATAGAATAGCAGAGCTGTAAGGGACCTTGGAAGTCTTCTAGTCCAGTCCCCCGCTTAAGCAGGAGAACCTACAATATCTCAGACAAGTGATTAATACCCCTATTAGCAAATTAGCATAAACCAGTTTGGTAAATCCAAATCTACGTTTTGGATTTAGTCAGGTTTAAATAGGATTATATAACACTCAATCCTCAAAATATCCCATCACTTGCTTTTTTCCTCTTTTCCAGCCATCTGCATAACCTAGTGGCATCATTTATGTTTTTAAAGGTATTGTTTCCTTTCTTCCCAAATTTCCTCAGCTTGGTGCCGTATATCTGTCATATCCTCAGGGATTTTGTAAATTCAGCTTTATTCAATATAACTCCTTGCCAATAAGCATTTTTGCCTTAGCCAGTTGGTAAAGATATTAGCTTTTTTAAAAATACAAAACAAAATAATACCTACACCAGCTTAATTGTTCAGGCTCATAGTCTATTAATATGTAAAACAAAATGGTCAGCCTGTCCTCTTTTTTTTCCATAGGTCTTCCGACCCCGCACTCCACCAGAAGCAATAGCTCTATGTAGCCGCCTGTTGGAATATACCCCAACTGCCCGCCTGACTCCACTGGAAGCATGTGCACATTCTTTCTTTGATGAATTACGGGACCCAAATATCAAATTGCCAAGTGGTCGAGAGAAACCTGCACTCTTTAACTTTACTACTCAAGGTAATTTGGAAACATTATGCCAGCATATGGCATCCTATCAAGTAAAGTTAGGTGAAATGATGAATAAAGTGTTGGGCGCTTCAAAAGAAAATACTCTTTCCACAGCATAGATGATTGGAACAAAAGGAAACATTTACAAATTGTGTGTGTCTTTGTCTGTGTCTCTGTGTGTGTGTGTGTAGCCAGTTCATTCTTGATAGAGACAAGATGATGTAAAATATAATTGAATCCATAATTTAAGTGATCTCTATCACAGTTAGCAAGTCATTTCCTAGTTGATTATTAATAAATGAATGTAGATGAAGTTATAATCCATAGTGCAATTTTTACTAAGCAATGAAAATAATAATTAATTCAAAATAAGTAAGCTAGAGCACCAAATAGTCAAATTTTAAATATAAAATAGTAAGCTTATACACACAGTGGGATTAAATATATTTTCAAATTGTGCTAAATCTTCTATCCTCTATATAAATAAAAATGTAAATGTTCATTTGTTCAAAATCTTAAATCTCTGAAAGTTCTTCTCCGATTGCTTTGAAATTTTGACACAACGTTGCATTTGAATACGCACGTGTTTTTATATACTACTACTACTACTACTACTACTACTACTACTAATAATAATAATAATAAAAATAATAATAATAATAATAATAGTAAAGTTGGAAGGGACCTTGGAGGTCATCTAGTCCAACCCCCTGCTCAGGCAGGAAACCCTACACCATTTCAGACAAATGGCTGTCCGGTCTCTTCTTAAAAACTTCTAGTATTGGAGCATTTACTGCTTTTGGAGGCAGGTTGTTCCATTGATTAATTGTTCTCACTGTCAGGAAGTTTCTCCGTAGTTCTAGGTTGCTTCTCTCCTTGATTAGTTTCCACCCGTTGCTTCTTGTCCCGCCTTCAGGTGCTTTGGAAAATAGCTTGATTCCCTCTTCTTTATGGCAGCCCCTGAGATATTGGAATACTGCTATCATGTCCCCCCTTGTCCTTCTCTTCGTTAAACTAGACATACCCAATTCTAACAACCGTTCCTTATATGTTTTAGCCTCCAGTCCCCTAATCATCTTTGTTGCTCTTCTCTGTACTCTTTCTAGAGTCTCAACATCTTTTTTACATCGTGGTGACCAAAACTGGATGCAATATTCCAAGTGTGGCCTTACCAAGGCATTGTAGAGTGGCATTAATATTTCACGTGATCTTGATTCTATCCCTCTGTTAATGCAGCCTAGCACTGTGTTGGCCGTTTTGGCAGCTGCAGCACACTGCTGGCTCATATTTAGGTGATTGTCTACTAGGACTCCGAGGTCTCTCTCACAGTTACTACTATTGAGCATGGTGCCACCTATGCTGTATTTGTGCATTTGGTTTTTCTTGCCTAAATGTAGAACCTTGCTTTTTTCACCATTGAATTTCATTTTGTTAGTTAGCGCCCAGTGTTCAAGTCTGTCCAGATCCTTCTGTATCTTAAGCCTGTCTTCTGGAGTGTTCCTGCCAGCTTGGTGTCGTCTGCAAATTTGATGAGTTCCCCATCTATCCCTTCGTCCAAATCTATATTGTATAGATGTCATACCTGTAACAGGTAAAAACATGCTTTTTGTGAAAAACAGCGCCATCTGTTGGACATAAAAGCAGCACACGCTACGATTTCAGACAATCACTATATCTGCACAATGGAACAACAAAAAATATTGTATACCCACAAGCATTGTGAAATTAAACATATTATAAACGTGCACTTTCTCTTTTCTTTCTTTTCCATTTAACCAGCCTGAGCCACAGCAATGCATGGCCAGGAACAGCTAGTATTAAATGAAATCATTATTTATGTTTCATATTTTTGGGAATCATGTCTGCAGCCCAAACTTTCTGAAGAGGCAAAGTAACCAACTAAATAGTTCCTTCCAAAGTAACCAATAAATATACATCATGCACACACATTTTAAAAGTGGTGTCTTCTAAGTACTATAAGGGAGACCCCCCTTTTCAGATTATTTTTCCTGCTCACATTTAATAGTTAAAATAATACTTCTTTTTCTAAAAGCAGTATTTTTTAATTAGAAATGTTTTTACATATTAATGTAGGAAAATCATACCGTACTTTCTGGCGTATAAGATGACTTTTGAAAGCATTGAAATCGGCGCCGAAGTTGGGGGTTGTCTTATATGCTGGAAATAACAGTAGTTTCCGGTGTATAAGATGACTTTCTAGACATGCGACTCGGTGCTGAAGTCGGGGGTCGTCTTATACGCCGGGTCGCCTTATACGTTGGAAAATACGGTAAGTTCTATATAGCTCTGAATAAGTTGCCTCTGAATAGGTATACATTTGATGTTAGCCAAAAGGCTAAGAAATCTTCTGAATAAGTATGTGTAGGTCTTTATTATTATTAATGCAGTTCTATTTGGAAGAATAGTTATTTGTACAAAAAGTGAAAGTAATTCTTCACTCTGAGCATTTTTTCTTTATTGTCCCATGAAATTGTGGAGTATATTTTTTTGTACATGGTCCAATAGCACTTGAACAGCACAGCTGCTTTTTAAGAAGCTACCATGCTAAGTCAGATCATTGATCTGTCTGTATCAGAATTATCCATGCAGCTTATCAGTGACTCTCCAGATAGATTTTTCCCCCAAACTTCAAGAGGAGTTAGTAATAAAGCAGTTTATTCTTCATGATAGAGTTTAGTAATAAAGCAGCTTATTCTTCATGATAGAGTTTAATCAGCTGGTTTCAAAGATGAACCATTATCATCTTCGATCTGCAACGTAAAAGACCCAGTTTGGTCTACTGTAGTGATTAAGACATGAGTTTTAGTCCTGCCTTAGCCATGAAATCCAGCTATATCAGACATGTCAAACCGATGGCCCGGGGGTCGGATGCGGCCCACAAAGTGGTTTCATGTGGCCCACCAAGCCATCCTGGAAACAGTGAGGGAACGGCCCCCTCTGCCTTGGCTCTGGCCCAGGCCAGCCGGGAGCCAATGTACAATTTTGTGGTGGCTATCTATGCTGAAACGCATTCAATCTTAGTTCCACAAGGCTGTCTGGAAACAGCGAGGAACCAGGAGAACCTTGAGCAGCAGCCTTGAGGAAGTGGGGCTGGGCTTGGTGCTGCAGGTGCTCAAGGGCCAGGCTGGGCATTTGACCTCTGCTGCCCAGGGCTCCGGGCAGCTTGCACCACCATCCAGCCCCCCCTCCCCGCATGGCCTGAGAGGAACAGTGAGGCTCCTCCAGTGGACCATGCCTTGGCACTTGCCCTGGTCCCACCCCCTTCTGCAGAGACCCTCATATCTGAGCCACTCCTGCCCAGGCCCCCACAGGCACCCTTGACGTGAACGGTGTAGAGCTGGCCACGCCCACCCAGTAGGCCACACCCACCTGGACCCCTGAGGGCAACTGCAATGCTGATGTGGCCCTCAATGAAATTGAGTTTGACACCCCTGAGCTACATGATCTTAGGCCACTCTCTCTCAATGTAATTCACGTCACAGGGTTGCCATGAGGAAAATAAGAGGAGGAAGGGGTGTTGGATATGTTTGTTGTCTTGAGTTGTTTGTAAAAATAATAAAGGAGGGATGCAAATAAATAAATACATGCAGATAGTTGCAACTTCTTTGAGCAGTTCTTTTTTATTATTTGTTAGACAAGTCCGCTCAAATACAATTATAAAATCATTTTTGTTTTTTTATACCTCTGAAAATATGCAATTGTGATAAATTTATAAAGTGAGCGGTATTGCAGGCCAGCTTCCTTATAATTCAGTGGTTCTCAACCTGTGGGTCGGGACCCCATTTGGGGTCGAACGACCATTTCACAGGGGTCGCCAAACAACACAGTCTGCCATTTTTTCCCCCTTTTCCTTAGCTGTGCTACTCCCTTTTATTTTATTGGCTTTTAAAAGCCAATAGAATAGACTCTCTTGAATAGAGTCTAATTCTATTGGCTTTCAAAAGCCAATAGGAATTGTCCAGGCTGTCTCTGCCCTACTGAGCCCGCCAAAAGTCCCATTCTGCAAACGGTGCTGCACCAGTTGAGTAGTCCGTGACTTACGACCGGTTGAGTAGGCCTCGACTTACGACCGGTTGGGGATCGCGGCATTAAAAAGGTTGAGAACCACTGTTATAATTAATTAGAAATGTTAGTACTCTCTGCCATTTGGAAAATACGGAACAATCTACCTCATCTTCTACATGAGACTGCTTTTCAGATATTTGGAGACAACCATTGTGTCTGCCCAAGTGTATTGAGTATAGAGTGTGGCTTTGAATGATAAAGGAAAGATCTGTTGCCAAGACAACAATCAGATAAATGAAGCTTGAGCCCAAACCAAGAAGGTGGTTGAGGTGTGGGAAACTGACTGAGGCAGCATCTCCTACCTCTCAATTCACAGGAAGATAAGAGGAAGGGAACCACATTCAAACTTGCATGATTCTGTTACTGTAGCTCTGCTAATAAAAGTGGCTTTAGAGCTACAGGACGTCTGTTTCTTAGTCTGGTCTACCTTATAGAGCTGGCATCAATCTTCCAAGTCTAAGTGTTCAGAAAGTAGCTTATGAGGAGGTATCTGACATTCCGCAATAGTCTTGCTGTTTATATGCTACTATCCAGAGTATGAAAAAAACAAGATGAGCTTTGAACTCTCTCTATAAAGAAAAATACAACCTGACCAAGCCTCTTTGACTGGAATATATTGAAGTAAAAGATCAAGTTGACTGGGATCCTTAGCAAAGCAGGAATGGAAAGCACATTTAAAAGCACTTCCAATAAAAAAAACAGACACCAGAACAAGCCAACTGACTACATAGAATGCCTAGTAATTATTTAAAAACGAACATGACACATAAGAATATATAAGAAGGATGAAAGATCACTAAGGCAGGGTATACACTCTTAGCCCATAATTGCAGAGATGATATATTCAAATAAAAGAAAAGGTGTTGGTCTATAGATGTTCCTGTTCTTACGAATAGCAAAGAAATGATAGAAATGTTCCATTTCTTTGTCTTCCCTAACAAGAAGGATTTCGTTTCATTGGAGTTCCAAAGAACACGAAGAAGTATGATTGCAGCTTGAGACTAATGAAAACATGGTCAGGGAATAATTATTTATTTTAAATGAGTTAGAATATAGAGGGTGAATAAGTTGCATCTTGCAACACTGAAAGAAATTACTGATAACACACAAAGACAAATGGAACAAACCAAAGTTTTAAAAAGTGATTTTTGAGGACCATTGTTTGATAGTAATGATAGTAATTTTTTAATGAAAAAAGTAAAAATACAAAAACACAAGTATTAAAATTTAATGAGCTGCTTCCAGCTGAGAAAATATGAAAAGGTGCATCAGAATCTGCTGCAAAGCTTTTGTAAGATGCTGATTCTGTTGCTTTCATATTTAAAGAATTTTTGTAAAGCAACATTTTTCCTTTAAGTTTTCTAAGAGATATTATATTGTAAGCTGATTATTATAATATATGATACTAATGTTATAAAAAAAAGTTGACAGGATTTTTTTCATTACTAGTAAACAACAGAAGACATTTCTGTTCATGTACAATTCTGAGGCAAATGCATAGATAATTTCAGTCATTGAGAAGGTCTTCCAGAACTCTAAGCTTCGTTCCACATGCAAAGGCTAAAAGTAGATTTTGGTTTGTTTTTCAATTTAATTGTGCAGCTTATGTGCTATATTAAAGATGGAAAAAAAGTCTGAAATGATTTGTCTTGGTCTGATGATTATTTTTTTACCTCCCCAAAACCTTGCATTTTAACCCACTCTAGATAGCAAATTACCTTGAAATGCCCTCTAGCTGGCTAGAGTAGTAAAATTGTAAAAAAATATCCTGGAAAATGGCAGTGGCAAACAATTTTTGGAAACTGCCTTGGGAATTGTGTGGATTGCAGTTATACAGGAAGTTAATCTTGTCACTGTTGTCAGAGAACATGGTAGCCAATCTTGACTGATCTCGAAAAAGTTTAAGCAGGATTAAAACTGGGAATCCATGAGTAAAAGCCTGGGCTGCAGGCAAGTAAAAAAGAAAGTATGCAAGAAAAAGATAATGGCTAAACACCTTTGTATTGTTACCAAGAAACAACATGGACTTACCTATGTGGGCACCAGGAGCTAACTGTTCTTTTTCATAACTTCACTAAGATATTTGTAACAGTAACTAAGCCAAGGTAAACCAATATAATTTGAATTTCTTTACTTTTGTGTTGTTGCCAATAATTTATTATTATTATTTTAAATAATATTTCTGACTGATATTCTCCTCTCCCCCCCCCCCCCATTCAACCATCTCTGAATCTTGGAAACTGCCTGGACAAATTACTATAGGTTTTTTTTGCAAGATTTTTCAGAAGTGGTTTGTAATTGCCTCTTTTTTAGGGTTGAGAGAAAGTGACTGGCCCAAAGTCACCTAGAACTCAGAGTCTCCCAGTTTCTAACCTGATGCCTTAACCACTACACCAAACTGGCTCTCATGACATTTTTAGTCTCTTATGATGGACTGTTTTATTTTTTTGAGAAAAAAGATTGTGGCACATGATCTACAATTTTAATAGAAAAAGGGCAATTTTGTTGTTGTTAAAAACAATATTGGCATTCTTCTGTCCTTCCCATATACTTCACAGCATGGTGTTTGGCAGCACTGGTGGGATTTAACCTTCTTCCTCTATTCTTCCATGGCAGTAATGATTATCGTAGAACTTTTCATAGAGTATCCTTACATTTCTGGCTTCATCAGGAGGTCTACTAAATTAGGTAATCGAGTCATGTTTTGTTATAAATGATCTTTCTTCAACTTCCTTCTAGAATTGTCAAGCAATCCATCTCTGGCTTCAATCCTCATACCTGCTCATGCTCGAAATCAAGCCGCTGTTTCAACTCCTACCAATACTCCAGCAGCCTCAGGTGAGATCATATTTATATCTACCATATTTTTTCTTGGTGTGCAGTTCTTCCACTCACAATTTTCAGTGACACAAATGCTGACCATCCCAGTGTTGTTACCATTATTAAATCTAGAATCAATATATTTTACAGGTTTGTCACAAATCTCTAATGTAAAGTTTTAGAAAATTACATGCAGATTTAGCATTGCTTGTCCAGCATCATAGATTAGGACCTCAGCACCATTGGTTACATTAAAACTAAGTGTGGTGTGTCCAATGATGACTGGTCAGGCCAATTTGGGCATGGAATGTCCTGGCACATATTGGGCAAACAGGTGCAGTTATTGCACTGAAAGCTCTAGACCAGTGATGGCGAACCTTTTAGAGGCCGAGTGCCCAAACTGCAACCCAAAACCCACTTATGTATCGTTGGGTGCCGATTGGGCGTGGCCCATTGGGTTGGTGTGACCAATTGGGTGGGCGTGGCCCATATGGTGGGCATGGCTGCGGTGGTAACAGCAGACTGGGTGGGACTAAAAAGTTCAATCAATTTCAACTTTGCAAGATCTTTTTTTCACTACAAGAAGTTAAAATTGATTGATTGATTGAACCTCTTTTTTTTGGCACATGGCACAAGGCCTAAAGCGAAAAGGTTTTATAAAACCCAGGTGAAGGCCTGGGACTGGGGCGACAGCGCGTATGCCCAAAGAGAGGGCTCTGAGTGCCACCTGTGGCACACGTGCCATAGGTTCGCCACCACGGCTCTAGACTTATGCAGCTAGCAAGATATAGGTCAGCAAGCTTAGTTACTAAATCTTCAGCCACTGCTGAAACCATGCTGGGGTTTTTCCACCTAACCACATTAATTCTTTTCATAGTTTTGCTTCCTTTTGGTTATCTTTTGAGTCTGATGTGGAGCTTCATTTTGGAGAGAACGAATAAGATGCCAAGCTTAGAGCGGAGGTGCACCCAGGAGGTTGTGTTACTGGTAGGCAAACAGAAAGTGGTTATTGGTGATGAGTTTGTGGGCTGCACAGGTCTTCACTAGGAGTAGACCATTACTATCACACTTGTTCACTCCATGTCTCCCAATGATTCCCCTGCCAAGCTGTAGAAGCATACCTACTATTGCATTAAAGTTGCCCAGCAAACTGCGAACAGGTCATCTAATTCTTCATAGAATCTGTCTTTTGTCTCTCAAGGATACACAGGCACTGATCAGGTTAGCTTAATGGTAACTGCAATGATTCCAAACAAAATGACTTCTGTCAACCACTTCCAACCCAACTCCAGCATCATGACACTCATCACTGCCATATACTGCTCCAGAAAAAAGTGTATCTACCTTCAGTTCCAGCCAGTTGACATTCGTTGAGAAGAGTTTCACTCAGGGCCTCATTATACAGTGAGGGGGGAAATTATTTGACCTCCTTCTGATTTTGTACAAAGAAATGATCAGTTTATAATTTTAATGGTAGGTTTATTTTAACAGTGAGAGACAGAATAGCAACAAAAAAATCCAGAAAAATGCATTTCAACAAAATTGTAAGTTGATTTGCATTTTAATGAGTTAAATAAGTATTTGATCCCCTATCAATCAGCAAGATTTCTGGCTTCCAGGTGTCTTTTATACAAGTAACGAGCTGAGATTAGAAGCACTCTCTTAAAGGGAGTGCTCCTAATCTCAGCTTGTTACCTGTATAAAAGATACCTGTCCACAGAAGCAATCAATCAATCAGATTCCAAACTCTTCACCACGGCCAAGACCAAAGAGCTGTCCAAGGACGTCAGGGACAAGATTGTAGACCTATACAAGGCTGGAATGGGCTGCAACACTGTCATTAAGCAGCTTGGTGAGAAGGTGACAACAGTTGTGCGATTATTCGCAAATGGAAGAAACACAAAATAACTGTTAATCTCCCTCAGTCTGGGCTCCATGCAAGATCTCACCTTGTGAAGTTTCAGTGATAATGAGAATGGTGAGGAATCAGCCTTGAACTACACAAGAGGATCTTGTCAATGATCTCAAGGCAGCTGGGACCATAATCACCAAGAAAATAATTGGTAACACACTACGCCATGAATGACTGAAATCCTGCAGTGCTCACTAGGTCCCCCTATTCAAGAAAACACATGTACAGACCCGTCTGAAGTTTGCCAATGAACATCTGAATGATTCAGAGGAGAACTGAGGAAAGTGTTGTGGTCAGATGAGACCAAAATCAAGCTCTTTGGCATCAGCCCAACTCGCCGTGTTAGGAGGAGAAGGAATGCTGCCTATGACCCCAAGTACACCATCTCCACCGTCAAACACGGAGGTGGAAACATTATGCTTTGGGGGGTGTTTTCCTGCTGAGGGGACAGTACACCTTCACCACATCAAAGGGATGATGGACGGAGCCATGTACCATCAAATCTTGGGTGAGAACCTCCTTCCCTCAGCCAGGGCATTGAAAATGGGTTGTGGATGGGTATTCCAGCATGGCAATGACCCAAAACACATGGCCAAGGCAACAAAGGAGTGGCTCAAGAACCTTAATGACTTGGAGAGGATCTGCAAAGGGGAGAGGGGCAAAATCCCTCCTGAGATGTGTGTAAACCTGGTGGCCAACTACAAGAAATGCCTGACTTCTGTGATTGCCAGCAAGGGTTTTGCCCCCAAGTACTAAGTCATGTTTTTCGAAGGGGTCAAATACTTATTTCACTCATTAAAATGCAAATCAATTTATAACTTTTTTGAAATGTGTTTTTCTGGATTTTTTGTTGTTATTCTGTCTCTCACTGTTGAAGTAAACCTACCATTAAAATTATAGACTGATCATTTCTTTGTCAGTGGGCAAACGTATAAAATCAGAAGGGGATCAAATAATGTTTTCCCTCACTGTATCTTACAAGCTCTCTGGCAACTTAAGCTGTTCTCCTAGTCTGCCTCTTTCTTACAGGGTTGTCCAAAAGCACGAACATATTCAAGTGACAATGGTGAGAGGTATCATCTTGTGTTTTTTTCTATGTTTGTTCAACCACCAAGATGGGATCCCCACTAGTTGTGGGGAACTGACCAGGATGCAGTAAAGCAGGCAAAGTTTGGGGCAGCTGTTCTAGTCTCTTCCTCATACTGTGGAGGTGAGCAGTGCATATCTCACCTAGGCAGGTACTGGTTTCAATGCTGTTTTGGTCAGTGAAAAGTGACTATTAGATCCGAGTTGCTTGTGTGCAGGTCCCTGACTACAACTCCCAGTGTATTTATGCTTAGTACTTTGTCACTCATAGCTGGAGGACTTTTTTTATTTTTACTCCTTTCAAGATGATGATGTTGAGACTAGTGCATAATTTTGATTTAAATGAAGGAGGGTTGCACAGTGTCAGCCTTAGTCTCTCTTCCCAGTTCCCATCTGAGTCCCAAGTTGAGACCAATCAGACATAGCACTAAGCACAATGGATGACCAGGACATCTTGTGCGCCTTGTTGTGCTTTTCATAAGAAACAAGGAAATTTTATCTAACTCAAGTGGCAGCAACCAACAATCTTTGCATCCTTTCTCTCCCTTTCTCTCTTCCCCCTCCCTCTTGTGTGATTCGTTTAGTGATTGTTTTGCCCAAACCAATTGTGTTCTTAAACCAAGACTACCTGTATTGAAGGATTTCCTAGTGCATTTTACCTTGCTAGATTCCACCCTAAAATGACAAATCTTGAATTGTCAGCACTGCCTGCTTTGAGACCTGCTAACACTTAACTGAAGCAGAGTGTGCGGGATCTAGGTATCCATAATGACAGAGCCCATCCTTTTATAGTATGATTGTCCCTAGATACTTATTTAATATTTTATATCCTCCACATCAGAGACTATTTATGTTCATTCATAGCCTATTAAAACAACAACTAGCAGATATATAAGTCTCCCATATAAATGCAAAACATGGTGTTCAGACTTGACAAAGATAGAATCTATCTCACAAGTGCTTTTAAAGTATTCATTGTACACCCAATGGTGATCAAGTTTAATATTTCCACCTCTACATGGCTGGCAAAATGCTTATCAATTACTATAGTTGTTAGACACTGTCTGGTTCCCTCCTCATGTTATTAATAGCTGCTCTTTTAGAATTTTCTCATAATTTTATATTTTCCTTTTAGAGTTATTGTATTGTATGGTCTCTTGTGTGTGATTGGTCTTGAACTATAAATGAATTATAAAATAGTTATGAAAAAGTGACAATAAGAAATTAGTAAGCAATTGTAAACACGCTTCTAGTAAGTACTATTTTGTTCCAAAATAACAATGTTAAATGCTATAAAAATGTTCTTTTAAGTGCTGATCACAAAAAACTCTAAAATATTTATTCTTTGACTGACTATTTAACAAAATGTTATCCTTCCTGGGTGTAGTTCTTTTCTGTCTTGAGGCATAGTGCAAAAGAACTTACATTTTAGAAACAGAGATAAGACACCCTGAGCAAAGGGAACAGAGATAAAATAAACTTTTCCAACATACTTCTTGTAGAAAAGCTTTTATTAAAGCAGTTGGCTAGTTTTGTTCAGCATAATTTAGGATCCCCAAAAGTCCCATCTGTTCTATAATTCTATTGTATTTCTAGCAACAACAGCCATGCAGTCTTTTCTGACTTCAGTATTCAACTCTTTTGTAACAGCAGCAACAATTCTATTGGAAATTTTACTGACTGAAGCAATATAAACTTAAACTATAATAACATTTGGAGCTGTGATAAAAGAACTAAACAGGAACCTGAATATAAAATATTTCAAGAAGTGTTTTGAGTGTACAAGAAGACCAATGTAAGATTTCATTCTTCTCATACTTAGCAATGAAGTAGAGAATGTCAATTAAAAGGATAATTGAAAGAAGAAATAAGGTTATTTACTTAACTGCATTAATATAGTAGACTCAACTAAAATAGCCTTCTTCCTACAAACATGTTTCATCCCTAAGATGCTGATAATACAAAAGATTTTAGCACACCTTCAAGTTCACGTGCCAAGGAGTCATAAAACACATGACAT